GATTCCAGAGCAGTCAGCTTTCCAAGAATTCAGATAAAAACTCACGGAATCTGCCGTGCCCTTTTAAGTTGCTTCAGAATCAGTGCTATTTTTCAAAAGAAATCATCTCTATCGGTTGTTGACGAGGAGCTAAGTTTAAGAGTATCCCGACATCGAACGCTTTCTTATTTGACGTTTTCAACTGACTGAATATTTTAAGACGTTCAGCTAACAATAAAGATGGCTCAAAATAAGTCATAGGCCGCTAAACTATGACGCAACGATATAATCACACTATTGAGATTATTCTCTTTAAAGGCACAGTTCACGATAAAAATGAAGAATTCGAGGATTCTTTCGCTTTCTTCACTACCGATGAAGTATTCCCATTCCGTTTTTTGAATAAAAACGGGTACCTCAAAAGTACATTTTCATATAACCAGCCGAGAGAGAGCTGAGAATGCCGAAATTCCAATTATTCCAGTGGTCCCCTTCGAGCGTGATGGAGATTGATTTGCCGTTTGGTAACAGCTTCGTGTTCACGTAACAACCACCGATACAACAATGCAATGAGAACATCTTGAGCACGGATTCGCAACCAGATTTTGTGGAGACAACAGAGTGAATTTGATCGAAGTGGAAGACACTTGAGAACTTTCAACTCCCCTCTTCACTGATTGCAAAGGATAATTTTGAACATGATTAAAATAATCTATCACACGTCAGGGATGACGGAAGTTGGAAAGACCAATTCTTGTCTCGGATACGACTGTAGGAGATTAGCTGACGGGCACTCAGCCGATTACGCGAGAAGTTGACAAAAAGTTGAACGGTGGTTAAGCTGTTGCTTTTTGAACACGAGTTGCTAGACGCTGACACTTGACGTCAACCTTCGTAGACAGCAGAATGTAGACGCGTTCCCTTTGCTGGAGGAACAAGTAAATGCTGTGCTGTGAAAATCAAAAGAGGCTCGTATTACGGAGTGATAGAGTGCGGAGATCAGTCAATGCTGGGATGACTTCCACACTTCTCCCTATCCTCATTTAGTGCGACGCTCAGTGAAGAAGGGGACTGGGTAGTCTCGTCCTCCCTCGCGGTACTAGTTTCGGGGAGAGAGTCCTCTATCTGCATAGTGCATGTTCATAAAATTGCACACGCTCCTCTCTTATCTTCAGCTTGACAAGCGTGACCAAACTGACTTCCTTGAATTCGCTTCTGGATTCTGCCAAATGCTATGCCACCATCGTGAAGGACCTTCTCTTTTGCTGGGGGTGAGGGAAGCGTTGGAAGGATGAGTGCTTGAGAGTAAAGAAGGGTAGGATGGTGGCGAATGGAGATATGAGGGATGAAGATCGATGAAACTCCCATTTCAATCGACAGCGGCATCAATTACGGGTGACTGGGGGAAGAAAGTGAGAAGGGCCGATTCGTAAAGGAGCTGTTGCCTTGAAGGGGAAGAAGAAATGTTTGGGGCCTTCCTCAGCAGAAGTTGAAAAAAGAATTAAAGAGCTTAATCCCATGCAGTCGTCGGAAGAGCCTCGTCAACTCCAAGAGGCAGCCGTCAAGATATCGAAGATCAGCTGATGGAAACACATCAGTCGATACTTTCACCATCGCAGCAACAGTCATTGATTGATTACCGTGAAACGTTGAAAAAAGGCCAAGACGGCAAACGGCCCTATGATCTGGAACCCTCAAGAAGACAAAGGATTAACCTAAATCTTACCCGATGAATCGAATCAGCAGAAGGAAATGTTGAAGACCGAATAAGCTCGAGGATTCAAACTTTGAGAGGGCCGATTCCTTGCGATGACAACCCTAGCAGAGATGGGAACAGCGAAGCCAGGTAAGCAATCCATCTCTGCTTCTCTGCCTTTGAAAACGTGAACTTTGGGATAAAAACTCGGATTACTATCGTTGCATCACAGCATAGAGCAGGACGAGAGACAATGTAAATTATATTTTTAACACAACTTTCCTCCTCTCCCGTAACACCAAGGAAAGAAATAAGAGGGACGTGGCTTCACTCCCTTTCCTGCTGCTCAACTCAATCCTGTATAAATCTCACAATCGACCCTGGAACACCAGAGACCCGCCTGAGACCCATAACAAATCCGAAAATATGTCTAATAGCAGGGAACTCCGTCGGGATGAAGACGTAACGCTATGTTGGTTGCCGACCTTTCCGAAGCGAACTACGACCCTCTGAAGTTCAACTAAGAAGACCCCATGTTTTCTAACATCAATGGAAAAATAGGAAGTGAGCAACTATATTTCACAAAAGGAGGGAGCGAGCATTAATACATTACTTGGTAACCAATTTACCAACACTTTTGATTAGACCGTTTTTATATATTCGTATCCTGGGCAGCTACCTGCATTGCTGTGGGGTTGTCACAAAGTGAGTCATCGACAACAGTAACAGTTTTGTCCAGATTTTGAGCCAATCTCCCCAACCTTTTCATCTTTTGCACCCACCTCAATGATCGAAACACATTTTAGCTCATTTGGAATCCACCTATCTCTCCCACCCCTCGCTTGCTCTAAATGTTCACTTACTGATACCCTTTTTCTTTTACCTCGATAGGACGAGTCCATTCCTTACCCGAGACAAGCAGTAGGGCTGCGCATCAAGCGAAGCACTATTGGGTGACGTCGTTGTACCATATCTTTTTCTAGTCTATGAACACGAGCTACATCATACTAGTACTTCTACCAAAAGATAAATTGGGTTTGGATTCCTATCATCTACATTTTGGCAGTATTATAACTTATTTTAAGCCATCTTGTGTTAGTTAGCCGAACGTAAGTAAAAAGAAAGCTTTCAAAAAAAAAACCAAAAGAAGCATTCGAGTAGGAATATGTTCAAACCGAGCACCAAGTCAACAATAATAATTTCTTTGAGAAAAATAGCTATGATTCTGCAGCAACCTAAGCACACTGCAAATAACCGTTAGCTTTACTGAATTCTTGAAAAAACTCACTGCTCTGGAACAACTGTCAATAGGTGAGAAGCCAATCCATAGCGAATTCACGCTCCCTATGGCAAAGATTCCAAAACGAGAAGTACTGGAAGCCTTTTCTGAAGTCGGTCGGAAAGCATAAACTCAAATTACATTAAAGAAAACGGCATGAAATGGTTCGTGCACGATATATATGCGCTCTCCAAAGCTAATCAAACAGCGAATCAATTGCAACTCTCTATGGAGGGTAATATGAAAATGGGACCCCAAACANTGAATAAGAGGACAACTTCCCATAAGGGTACAGAAGGCAAGCGAATTCCCCAGTTCCTACAAAGATGCCGAAGGTTTTCAACACAGCTCATCCAAGAAGTAGAGTGTTCTTAGGATAAAGGAGTTGCTCTAACTCTGCCAACAAGTCCTTCGATCAATCGACCGAGTCTGGACATAGGACCCCTCAAAGCGTCTCAACCATTCACTGAACAAAGACAACAAGTTGTTCCCATTCCCACATAAGCAGATCCTAATCCCCAGAGTATCCCATGGACCTTAAGTGGACCATTGGTTTGGAAGGGCACAAAATCAGAAACAAAGTCTCCGGGGCTGGTAGTGGTGTTCCGAAATAATTTGAGCAAGGGAGACAGAGCTTTCGGCCTAATCCTGAGAAGAGAAGCACCACTGTGGGTGAAACTCCCGATGCAAAAAGTTGTAAAGGAAGTGTGTTTGGTCAGTAGGATCCTCACACGATCAGAAATTGCAAACAAGGACTGTGAACGGATAGTCCCCCATCCCTTTCCACCAGTGACCCAGGACGCATTTTCAAATAACCAACCTTGTTGCCAACACTATAAGCCCTGAAAAAGACTACCTTTTCTGAATTTCATCATTCACTTTCGACCAAGCAGAAGCAAGTCTTCCAGACACCTCGCTGAATGTTGTGCAACTGCTATGCAGAAGTTGTAGTGTGAACGATCGTATCCGTTATCCCATTTTGCGACTGAGAAGAGCCATATCGTGTCCTCAAAGGGCTGCTGATGGCACAAAAATCCGACGAAAAATGGCTACATGTTCTAAAGAGCACGGGAAGTCGAGCCCGATGTCGTCTGCAAAATTAGTCTGCACAACCGAGCAATGCAGAGTGCTTCTTCCCGAAGCGAGTGGCTCCACAAGTCCAACTGTAGCGAGCATCGGTCGCTAATGAGCCGTCTCCTTACGATTGGTGGGTGCATGACAGAGAAGAAAATCTCCAGCGATCCGAGTAACACTCAATCCGGAGACCTCGAGAGTCGACTCCATCGGCAGGAAACTGCGCGGGGATTCATTGCGGAAGGGTTAACTTCTGCAGAAGGGACACGCCCTTCTGAAACCCACGGAAAACTTAGGGTGGGCGAGTGACTGGTGAGTAAAGGCGCCGCTAACTCCTACGTAAAGAAATTACATATAACTCAGAACTAACCCTCCTCCACAATCTACTGAATTCCTGGATCGTTACTCTCTAGTCCGAAACTTGAAAGCATGATACTATTGATCAAGACTGTTTTTGAATAACCCATTTCTTTTAGCGTCACTTATATCGTGTTAAGGAAAAGAGGATTGCATCCCCATAGACCTGAAGAAAATGGTGAGCTCATTGACTCTGCACATGAGAAACCGCAAAACAGTGAAAAAACAAAAAAGCCTGCTTTCCCTTGGTCCCATTCCACTCCCTCTCCTCAACCCCTCTCCATGCGCCAGAGCTACTAATGGAAAAAGCTGAGGAAAATTTGAAGAAACCCATACCATTATTCCCTCCTTCCCCCCACTTTTGCCCTTTTGACTACCTTACTACCAGCCGTTACCTAAAATCCCTAATTGAACTAGAGAATAACGACCAGGAACCTTACCTAACTAACATCCCCAACAACAGAAACAAAAATGACTACAAAAAATCATAACACAAATAGATTACCTAAAAACATTATAACTACGATATTAACCCTATATCTTACAGGTTATAACTAAAAAACTCAAAGAGAAAGTTATATTAAATACTAAAAAATTCTAAAAAATCTTATACATATGGCGCCTTCCTCACCAGTCACCCTTTTCTAAAAATGTTTGTCGTCCGTCCTCGTCCTCGCACTGGAACCTCCTCCCGAGCGGACGTCTCTTCTAAAAATATAAGCACATCATTCTGAGAACCGACATACTGAAACAGACACTGAGTTTTTTTTTACCTTTCCATAAACGACGCTTCGACAATGTGAATCTTGCCACCGGTCAGTCGCCGTAAAGCAGCACATCTGAGGCTATGCTGCATATCGGGTGGTACCAGAGTAACATCGAAGTCCAGTAGTGTGGTGTCCGCGGAGAGCCGTATCGCCCAATGACGTCGAAGAACTGCAATCTCGGAAGAACGTCCAAGTCCAGTTGGGCCGAAGGGAATCGAAATTCTGTGGCGTCAGGGCATCGAAGATTTGTGGTGTCGATTGACGCCGAAGGGACATGGTGGTAGAGGAACATCGAATAGTGGCGGCCCGAGTTGAGGGGTAATTCACCTTAAAATGACACAATTCGTTTGACGTCAGAGAACAATTCCCGAGTCAATATGCACTACTATTGAAAGCGACATTATGGCCAACTCACGCGTGAAAGAAGACGATTCCTCTGCACTGATCCATGCGTTCAGGCCGAAACCTGATATCGCAAAGTCGTGGCTTCATCACAAACTCGAGCTGATAGAAGGGCGACCACCTGTAAAAGATTTCTTCTTATAACTATTTCATTACTTAGAGAGTGCAAATCCCATATCAAGTATAGAGTGCCTCACCCTTTGGAATAATGCCACCGATCTTTCTCGAGGAGACTGCCACAAAACGAAATAGGACAGTCGGCGGTGGCATTGACGAGCTGAAGAGTAACATTTATAGAGAGAGAAGAGAACTTTCAGGGAGAAACAACTTTTTTACCTTGACCGTTTCGTGGCCATCTTGGTCCCGTAAACTCGCAATTTTCCGTCGCTTGCCCATATGGCCTGGGAAAACGGGACCGAAATACTTTGCCAAATGGGCAGCGTGCGACGGGTTGCGCTTCGGAAGGCTTGCCGACCTAAACCACTATAATGAGAAGAAGGATACGGTCGATAACGCTATTGAGCGAGAAGACGTACCCGTGATCCCCACAGGATCTCTGCCTCCTAGAATCGGCTGCACCCTCCGGAACTGTCGCTGCTAGAGCGAACTGAAATGTGTAAGGCATTATCACTCTTACTGAATTAGTTTTTGTTTAGACGTACCCTTGATCCCGATTGGGACCGACCGCATTGTGCTTTCCGAACACAATCCTCTGTACCGCCCGCGACGTTATCGACTGCCACCATACTCGTTTGTGGCCCATTGCTGTAGGGTTGGACTTGTTTCGACACATCTCTGCAGGAGATTCTGAAAGAACAGAAACAGCAGCGAACGAACGAATCTAGTGAGTACAAAGAAAACTTTGCAAATCGGTGACAAAGCCGGTAATGGCATGGTTCCTTCCTCACTTGTAGTTCGGTCAGTCTTGAAGACTTGATGACAAAAAAGTGGTGAAGAACGTGCCTTTGAATGACCAGCTCTGCCACCGATCATAAAGAGCAAAACCGCTTCCACACTTCAGACAGCCCCACAAGATCGCAGAAAACATTTTAAGTGCACCCGCTTTTGAACAAATCCGAGAGACTAGTATTGATGAAGCGTGGAACAGTAAAAGTAACATCAAATGGGCTTAGTCTTGAGATTTTCGCAGTGGCACTGTTGGCTGCTACGCTATCCTTCCCATTGCCAGAGGCACAGCCATCAGTTCGGTGGTCATTGTTTTTCATTCATCGGTTGCTTCAATACGCAAGAGCAGCAGCGTGTCTCGCATTTTGCCTTTCTTGCTCCACTTTTTCCTCCTTTTTATCCTCCAATTCCCTTTGCTACATATGGTTCAGATTGCGGTATCGAAGGATTCTGGAAGTATTACCAGCTTTTTTGACACGAATGCTCAATGTAACAAATGTTTCTTAAAAACAAGCGGATAGTGTGAAAATGCGTATGATAAATGTGAAAATGTGTTTTATGCCAAAGGGGTGAAATTTTGCCACGAAAAAGGGGCCAGGCCTTCTCTATCACAAAACTTTGGAGAGCAGGGAAGGAGGGGTAGCTGGCTTTCCAAGCCTGCGATGGTCTTTAGAAACGTTTTTCAGCTACGAATTTAGTTTTTACACTAGCAACAAGCCTCAGGAGTGAAGGAGCTGTGGATGATTACCTCGTGCAAAAAGCTGGGATGGGAGAGGTGTTGAACATTCAGTTGATCGATGATCCACTTCTTTCCAAAACAGTCAGCGGTACCGTGCCAGCATACTACTCCAGTTTAGGAACTATCTTTATCTTCTTTCTCCTTCTCTTATTCTTTTTCACGAATCTGAAACTAGAATAAATCCATGAAATATCCTAAATTGAGCAACACATACACTTCACGGAACAACTGTAGGCGAACAAAGTGAAAAAATAGACACGACATGAGTATTGAATGTGAAAAACGAGAATAAAGGACGATCCGGTGCTG